CCTGCGCGGACGGCCTATAAACGACCCTTGACCTGTATCATAATTCATGATAGAGTTGATATTTCTAAAAATGACAAGAAAGTGGATTTACAATGCGCTTTTATGATTCATATACCCTGCAGAAGGAAGTTTTTGGCTGCCAATATTTGAATGACACAAGCATACCTGGCTCCACCTGATCTGTCAATACACTAGATAGAAACCACCATGCCCTCTTTCCGTAGAACATCTCCCTTCCTGGTCTTATCTCTGTACTAGTATCCTGCCTCAACTATGTTTTCTTAATCAAAATCTCACTTACTCCTGTGTCGACCCGCCGCGTAGCTCAAAGTTTGCAAAAAACCAATATCATCGTTGTCTATCGATAACGAAAAGTAGGGGAGACGGTCAAGAGGCGCGATTTCTCTAGCTGTCACCAACTTAAAACTCCAGTTTAATGCTATGCGAATCTTCAAAATTTACCAGATAAAGTGCAATAGCTTACTATCTTTCTGAGGCCACCATTTGCCAAGTTTCATGGTTTTTGCTATAAATCGAGCTGAAATATTTACGAATTTGTTCTGAAATGCATTTTCACGAGTTTTTGACCTTCAAAACTGCTCTTTTGATTTTCTTTTGGAGTAGCAAGATTGAACAAGTCATGCAACTACCTAATATATCTTCTTCTAAATTTCATTTTAGAAAGTTGCAGAACACTTATTATGTGCTATTTGGTGTCCAGCTGACAATAAAAATCGCGCCTCTTGACATAAACCCCGAAAAGTAGTCTGTGACACCCGCCCGGCCCCGAAGTGTATACGTGCCAAGTTTGGTCCAAATCGTTCAGAAAGGGATATACTATTCTAGCATTGGAACAGGCAGGCAGACAGACACACACAAACATCCAGCTTTATATATAAATTCGCAGCGTTGGCATCCTACCAACATGGATGGCAACCATGCCTTGAGGGCAGTGTATTGGTGATCTGGAAATCTAAAACGTGTATATTAGGTGAGGAGTACTAGCATAACCACTGCCCAAACGGCAGTTCATAATATTGCCACGCTCAGCCCGTACTCTTTGCGAGCGGAATCAACAAATTCGAGTAAGGAAACTCTAGGGTTTAACTTTCGGTCATGAATGACTAATATGAAGTGCTACTTGAGCATTCGTGGGTGAAACTCCCCAACGAGTATTCACGTTAAAAGTCCAGGTACTCGGATTTGCCACCAGATTCAACCAATACACCGCCTTCAAGTTCAGGCAAATTTTCTGGACGGAATACTGTACTTCCTTATACACTTCAATATGTTAGTTATAGAGATAGGAGGTGAGGGAACAGAAACCGATGATCAAGCTCAAGGAGTAGAGAAGGAATCAAAGTGTAAGTATTGTGTGGCATAATGAGTACGCCGACAATTTCAATTTCAGCCAAGAAATTCAGTAGACAACAAGATACTATCCTTGTCGTAGCAATAGCATCTGCCATCTTATTTGTATGATGTAGATCAAAATTGTTGCAGAACGCTTTCTTCTAGCTTCAATTGTCTGACATCGAATCTACACGGTTGAGTTTAATGCAGTCGCATTGAGGTCGAGAATTTCTGAGTGGTGCACGGACCGCTCTACTTGTGCTTCTGTGTGAAGTTTGTATTAGCTCACAGTGCGTGCAAACGATAGACCCAAAAGTTATCTATTTGTTTACACCATAGGCATGCCATAATGTTAAGTAAGTATTCAAAAGGATTATGATGAAAAAAAGCAGTGTCAGAAACAGAGAACATGGAAACTAAAAAGGTAACCAGAAAATGCATTTTTGGAGACCATTTAACAGCTTTGGTCTAGAATCTAGTGATATGAGCTGCTATAAGCAGTGCTATATGAGTTTGGCATGCCATCTTTCCCGTCAGCAAGCAATCTAGAATCATCAGTTTGTTCCATAAGTAAACCGTTTTCTGTAATCAAATTGTTTTCGTTTTTTTAGCGGACTGGGGCACCATTCGGTAGAGTAAAGCAAGCTTTGAATCCCAGGTCCAGCCATCGATAAATCTTGGCATGACTTTGTAATCTTCTATCAGCTGATGTAGCGTAGGCCAAGATTGGTAGGTAGATTTATTGGCTTACATAAGTTTCGGCGTCTCCGCCTTCTTCAGAGCCTGGAAACGTCGAAGATATTCACAATCTATCCTCCCAAAAGCTTCGTTTTCACCACATCGGTACAACTCAACAGCCAACAGAGCCAAAACAAACGAGAAAACGCTAATGAGTTAGCGCTCACCTTATAGCCTTGCGGATGAGAGGAAGCGACCACCGAGCAAAGGTGCGCCACTACTGATGAGTTACTGATACGTTAATCACTCCCCCGCACTTGACCCGACCCCGATCCGTAGATCAAAATCCACAAAGGGTCCGGAAGGGTGCCAGCTCGTTTGTGATGGTTATCATTTTGTAAAGCGAGCTTTACAAGAACTACCCAAGTCGTAATCCCGGTGAGGTTATAGGGCAATTCCGATTCAGCATGTAGCAGCCGCAGTCCCTAGCAGTCCATAGGAGTGCAAACTAGTCAAATTCCCTACTTTAAGTGCACCCCTTTGCGTAAGGGGAAGGGAGGTGGTTTCATCTTCCTCGCTTTTTCCTTCCTGTTGCTGCCATATGCAGTTCGGTCTCATATATCATACTTGTGTCCACTGTTGTTTTATCTTGTAGAGATAGATTGGTATGCTATCAGTGCCCTATTCCCTCTTGCAATTGAACCAAAGTTCGCCAAAGTTTCTTCGCAGTACGATTTTCTCTGACTTTGGATGCGTCCAGTTTTTGAAGGTGTGCTACTGGCTATTTGCTTATCTGAAAATCTCTGTAATGTATGAGAGTCGATCTGCACATTAGCGGCAATAGGACGGAAAAAGCTGGAAGTTGGAAAGCATAGGGGAGTGCACTCAAAGTAGAAGCAATCTAATGATTTTGCGCTTCTATGAACAAAAGCGGCCTGGCCTGCAGTACCGGCGTGCTCAATGTTGCTAAGGCACGCAGTTGTCACTAGGGGAGGAACTTAGAAGCTGCAGTAGGCAAGCATCAACTGCGGAACGTCATGACTATTGTATGACGGTAACCGGGTCCAATTTGCAACGCAGGAGACGAACTTTTTGACCTGGAGGCAGGGCCCGGCACGCGTTGGTTTGGAGGTTTTTAGGAAACGAAGTCCCCCATGACTTCGCGAAAATTTACGAAGTCCCTAATTTACGAAGTACGTGAAAATCAGTAGGGAAACCCTTATTCAACCAAAATAGCAACAAAAAAGCGAAAAAAGCGCATTTTGAGGTATGTAATATAACAAAAAAGCAAAAAGAAAACATCGAGTCGATTAAAAGCTCTGCCATTGGGTATAGTATCATTTTGATGCTGGGAATGTCGAGAATCTCCTAGGCCAACAAATCTGTAGCCTCAACAATCCTGCGATGCATTTTTTGCCACATATTTCAAAGGACACCGCAAGTGATTGGAGCGCGATATCTATCAACGCGTAGAATTATACTACTTTTGACTCAAAAAGGGAAGAAGCAACGGGCTGATCCGCTCTCTTCACTATATGATAGATTTTTGACCGTTCTAATCGTCCAAATCAAAAAGGTGCAAAACTTATGTGAACTCTCCGATATTTATGCTCCGAACCAACCCAGTTGGTTTAGTAGTTGGTCTAGAAACCAACAAATTCGAGAACGGATATTAGAACACATAAGTTTTGAGAACTTTTTACATAACATAGTTTGGAGTAATATTGTATACTCATAGCCCAAATTCGGAGCCATGTGATTGTTTGTGCGCTGTAAACAAGCCATTTGTTTGTTTGAGTCTTGCATTTGAAATTCGCGCGCTTGCGAAAGAACACGTTCAACTCGTGAAACCTGACATGTTCGTCGTGTTTTTTTTTGGCGCTTCCTCCAGGACCTCATAAAAACGATGTCCCCGTTGTTTCTAACTCCAAAAACGAAGTCCAGTTTGACCCCAAACCATCGGTGCCGGACCCTGCCTGGAGGTTCTATTTATAGTGTCTTGAGCAACAGCATGTGCTGGCACTAACACAGCAAATCTGATGATTTATAGATTTCCAGTGTGCAAAAGTTCTGATGATCCTTGCTCAGTTAGCTATCTTATCATGAAATGACTGACGAGCTACCAGAAAAGTCGGAAAAGTGCCAAAAATAATTCTTGAAAAGATGTTTGGAGAACATAGGAACCGGGTCGATTTCGTAAGTGTTGTGTTCGATTCTGTACTACGTGCTCGCAGTATTCAAGGATGTCGTCCTGTACTCGATGAGCATACTCTACAAATTTTTCTAAACCCGGCGGACATTTTAGAGTCACAACATATAAATATTTTGCAAGATAAACATCCACCAGAACCTTATTTTTACAGCATCGCAAGATCTGTTCCATCTTGACTTCTCGGATCAACTGTTGTACTGATGCTGAACTAGGATTAGATGTTCAAAGCCATAAACCAGGCTCAGTTCACGAATTGCAGTGGTTTTTTGACCCACATACAAGCGCTGGCTCTTCTCAGCGCCACATGCCTTTTGCCATTAGACTGTGCCATTACCCGTAAAGGTTATGTAGAGATGTAGCTAGCTCCGCAAGAACTTCTCAACGTTAACACCAGCACAAACTCAAAAAATGCAAAGTGTCATGGTTCGCCCAAGTTCGGCAAGCTGTAAACTTGTTAAAAAGTTCTTAAGTTGTTGACTACAGTCAATAAATGTGATGGTACTAGAATTAACTATGTGGAGTAAAAGCAAAAACGATGCCCTATCGGAGTCATCATATTCACTTTGCTTGCTACGTGCGCGAATCGAGAATATAACGTGCTCCAATCGATTTGCACTGGGGCGCAACTCAGTTTCCCCACCAGTTCCGCGGCCGATTATGGGAGTTCTAATTTCAGCGACCTCTGATATAGAAAGTGGACCAAATTGCTTGCAAAGACTGACTGAAAACAACGGTGATTTCAACAAAAAAACTTTATAGGTACTTATATGAACACTTCGTTCGGAAGGCAGGAATAAGGGCGTCACAAGTGTATCTAAAATCACCCGACAAAAAGTGTAAAAGGCGGAATGTATTACACAAATTAACGCAAGGAAATATCACAAAGCAAAAGTGAAGAGAAGTGCCCCGTTTAAGGGAAACATGGAATGTTGAACGAATTAGGAATGTATCAATGCGGGAATGTAAGGGAATGTTGAAGCAAGGCAATGGCAACTCGTAACAATCGACAAACAGATCAATAAACATGAAAATAAAGACATAACAATTCATCACCTAACACAAAAAATTGAAATAAAAGGATGAGCATGGTAAAGTCGACGGCACGAGATCGTCCATATCGCTGGCTGTACGCACGCAAGCGTGGCGCGCGGTCTCCACCCGCATGAGTCATCAAGCGCCAATGCTAAACTTAGACTGCAGGCCACTGTGGCAACCGTGCACCAGATGGACGTTCAGTTTATAGCGACACACGCGATCTCATGCAGTCGACCATATGATAGCAGTGTGAAATTTGAGAAATTGGCTGGAAAAATATTTTGCGCAGTGAGAGAGAGGGAAAAGAACAAACTGGAATGTTGTAGGCTAAAGAAATCGTTGGGACTAAAGCGCTGCGTTAGCGAATGAGGCACTAGAAACTAGACATGGCAAAGGCATTCAGAAAGCTAATGAGTTCTGCACAGATGTCGAGGTCTTGCTTCGCCTTCGTCGAATGCAGGAATATATAAGTACCCCAAGGCAAACGCACGTCAGCACGAACATACCAAAGACGAGAATTGTACGCACACAAACGAGCACATCCTCATGTACTACGCTTGAGACTTCTGGTAATGCGGACATTCCTTGAAAAAAGAGTTCAATGAAAAAACTTGTTATTTTCCAGTAAAAAGCCCAAGGGCGATCTTACCACTCCTCCAGTGATCAAACTGTTCTTGAGCTCGAGTCTCTTCTTCTTCCTCACGAACTCTAACCAGGGATGAAAATGCAAGCCGCTTCGAATCGATTATCTAAAGCATGGATTACAGGCTCTATGTATCCTTTTCACATTCTTTCCTACTTTCGAGAGAAGTGCTTTTTCTTCTTCGTCCTCGTCGTAATCGTCATCATTCACTCTCTCTTCAAACTCTATACCGTTTTGGATGTGGCGTACTCGTCGGAAGCGGAAACGTCGCATTGCAGCTTCTCGTCGTCGACCGCAATTCATCTAAATAGTGTGCGGTAAAATTTGAGAAGCTACGTTCACCACACGTTGACGCTAGAAAATGGCATCATTATAGTGGAACGGACTCCGATCAATAGAATACGTAACAAGCAATTCTAGGTAGAAGGAATACGCTCATTACCTCAGGACATGGGCCGATACAAGCACTGCAGTCACACTGAAAACGTATCATTGAGCTGTCAGGCCACTTGAAGGTCCTGGAAATTCGCGGCTAGTGGTTTTGGGAAAGCAATGTTCAAGCAAAACATAAAATGTCAAATCAAGATAAGAACTTGCCTAAACACCGCTTCAGTCAGACTTGGTCGCACCCGGCTCCATTCGGGGAATAATTGATCATCAATCGCACAGCCTGCCTTGTCCGTAAGCGAATATCGCTCACCAGTTTCAATATTTATGGCAAAGCAGTTACGAGGGAGTATAGAGTAGGTCTCTGAAATGACGAATGCAGCTGTATTGAAAACAAAACATGTTCATATCCATTTTCGGTAAGTCCGTTCAAATCGAATTTTTTTCACACCCTTCTGATATGGAATTTCCTAAGCGGAAATAAATTTTTTCCTGAGCGGAAAACAAAGTCAGTACTACTGAATGTTACCGTTTGGTGAGACTTCCAATCGAAGACGAAGAGCTTGTCCAACTACAGCGGCAGCGATACTTTCGTCGGCTTCATTGGTGACAGTCAGTTTACATATGGGTCCATGTGCATTATCCGTAAGTGTAGAAGATGTTGTGAGCTCGGAAACGTTTACATGCGATTCAACCTAAATCATTAACATTTTTGATTTCGACAGCACAATTCTAATCTGATAGCAGCAAAAAGCAAATCATAAATCGTCAAAAACAACTATAGCCAACCAGTTTTGCGCTTGTAAGGCATATGGCCACAATCACGAAACAGTCAGATGTTGGTAGTTTCTCGTAAAGAAGGTACGACTAGTATCTGATATGATCATGCAGCAGATAAAGTGGAGAATTATTGAAATATTCTTATAGAGATCTTAAATTCGAATTTCTAACCAGGGAAGGATACTTGGCCGAAGTGGCGTACCCATACGAAATGTATACTACTTATGGAGCATGGAACTCTGATTCCAAATCTGTTCTCGGTATCTGCAAAGCTCTTTTAGGAGGGGTGTTTTAGGATTTGTGTGAAAATTCAATGATTAGGCTAAGGTAAAAATAGATGTTGAAGTCTTTCCGGCGTTTGAGAGGAGTAACTGAGAGTTTAATAGATTGAAGGTCTTTATTCCATAAAGTACATGGTAGTGATCATGGCCCCATTTGAGCTTACAAACTAAGGTTCTGAATAATTTGTAGCGGCGCTTCCAAATTTTTGATATTTGATATTTGATATTTTTTGCACCAAAAAATTTTTTACATACTCCCCTACCAGAAGCGCTTTGCAGATACCGAAAGTAGGTTTGAAATCAGCGTTCCATGCTTTATGAGAGAGTATACAACTTTGTATGGAAAAACTGCTTCGACCAATTATCCATCCCTTGTAAGCGATCCCTACACGAAAACTCACAGTATGATGATTATTTAGATCAAAAGTGATGTGAGACAAATATTCATGAGATTTGAAAAGCTTATATGTTGTGAGAGGAACACCTCATTCGGGCACTTTTCTAAAAAAACAGCATCGTTGGAGTGCTTACCTCCCTAACCCCAACTGGGTATGTACATCTGAGATCATATGCGTCCGCAGCAGTCGTTATGAACATAGGGTGTTTTTGAACAATAACGGTAGTCGCAAAGGTATCCTTGAAAGTTTCGCTGTAGAAAAGCATCGGAAAAAGTAATGAATCTTACTTGTTCCTCTAATCTGACATTGCAATGTTCGAATGGCACTTTGAACATGTAGGGCTTGGATGCATGCTGTAGTGCAGAGAAGGTCTTTGCACAATGTGGGTTTTCAGCTTGTCCGCGCACAAATATTCTTCCTTCGAAAGCCGTGGTCTCATTTCCAAGTACAAGTGTCATACCGTCGGGTTCACAAAACACTGAATAAACTCTCAATAATGAAACCAGCGTGAGTACTATTTTGCATACCGCCGAGCTCGCCGATCTTTATGTGCTGAATACAGGTCTTTCCATCACCGGCATATCCGTCAGGGCATGTGCAAACGAACGAACCAGGGGTATTGGTGCAAGTAGCCATATGATGACATGGAGAATAGAAGCATTCGTTTACATCTGAAAAGAAGCTGTGCTTAGATGAAGTCCAAATGCTTCACAAAATATCTGCTATCTGGAGTGTGACACATAGGATTGGCGGTTTTGATTCTATACAAAATATAATCAAAATTTTGTACTCAAAGAGAATCCGAACAAAAATCGTCCCTATCAGCAGCAGCACGCCGCGTCCTGCGGCGTGCACCGCTGCAGTCGCAGTGGAAAAGAGGCTCAAGGCACCACAGCTTCGCCGGTTATGCATCTCTATATTCGCTGCACGTTCGTGTTCTCGAGAGTGTTCCTTCACAACAAGCGAGCTTACGCTTTCAGTGCGACTGCAGCGGCGCACGCTGCAGGACGCGGCGTCCTGCTGCAGTCTGCTGCCTGCTGGGTTCCTTGATACCACGTCGCAGCACGCGTCCTGCGGCGTAGTATGAAGAGACCCATACTTATTTAGGCACGCGCCATACTTGACCGCTTAAAGGCAGCGTCCCGGCAGATTTTGCATTTCCATCTTTTTGCATGTTTTGGGCCTTCTCGACCCGTAGATGCGAATCCGAGCTTTAAAAGGGGTGAAAAGGTCTTTTTCGGGGCGTTTTTTTTTCAATTTGCAAAAGGCAGCTCGGACGAGAATTTTTAAAGGAAAGTCGAGAGGCCCTGGCACGAAGACCCTGCCTGTAATTTTGGCTTTGTATAGCATGCACAGTACGGGAAAGCGGTTGGGGGGTCCCGCGCCGTCTAGCGGAGAATACTCGTCCGAACAAGGTGTTAGGGGAGCGAAAGGAGGAAGGGGAGCAGCGCTTGGGCCGCCCCCTGGCTTGCAAAGTTCACATTTTCGGCGCGGAGTTGCTGTTTTGGTTCATTTGGAGGGCCTCCTATCCATCTGTGTCAAAATCTGAGGTAGGTCAATCTGCCGAGCCGCTGCCTAAAGCACTTGATCCACTTGGTCCGCTTCGCCATTGGTCACTGAACTGACCTAGCGGAGCGGTTGTCCACTAGATCCTTGTTCCACGTCATCCACTTCACTATTGGTCAGTTTACTGAACTAACCGGTGACAAAGCGGATCAAGTGGATTGAGCGGATCAAGTACCGTCGAGTAGATTTTCCGCTTAATATAGTGTGCTTGCACTGAAGGTGGAATGCGGTAAAATTTGCGCTTGAGCAAATAGCTGCGCCCGTGGCGCCGGCCAATTGCGCGCGCAAAAGACTGCCATTACAGGCGGGCTTCTTGTTCACGCGCAAATTTCACCGCATTTCACCTTCACTACAAGCACACTATATTAAGCGGAAAATCCGACTGTAGCGCGCCTTACAAGGAAAGTTTGCAAAATCGAGCCTCACCAGCCTCAAAAATACCCAAAACAGATAGAAATTGGGTAGGGGTAGAGGAACGAACACTTCAATTAGGCACCGCCTCCGCGGACCACTGGTCCTGACATGATGCACAACAGTAGGACAGAAGGACTAGCAGCCCGCGGCGACGCTGTCGAATTGAGGTGTTCGTTCCTCTACCCATTGGGTAGAGATGAACTCGAAAATGTGTCCACCAACAGGATTTGAACCCTCACCGGTCTTCTGTGAGTCCAAAACACTAAACACTACACCACACGGCCACTTCCGGAACACATATGCATTGAATTTTGAATTTTTGAATGAATTTTCTCCCTATGCATTCGTTAGATGCATAGGGAGAAAATTTCAGGGGACTCTAACGTGCTCCAGAAAAACGCATCGCAGTTAAAGGCAGTGGCTCGGCAAATCCTCGACCTCGAAGTTTCTTGGCTTACAGTTCGACGCGCTGGTTCCGAAAATACACCTTGAAGAGCACGAAAATGTCGAAAACCAGCATTTTCCGAGGGTTCTCATTTTGATGGACGAGTGGACCACTCCCCGCCATGGTTAGAGGGTGGAGGACTATATGTCGCCGAATGTGGAAGAGTCCCGCGGGGATTCCCTGCAGGAACGCATGTCCGCGCATGTACAAGGGTGCATATTTGTCGCAGACCGCGGGGACCGCCTTTCTTCGGCGACATATGGTCCTCCACCCGTTAGAGACGTAGAGTCGTTGGGGGACCCCCATGTTCATAGCATTGCGGCGCATACCGCGCCTCTGACGGTGGGAGTGGGACCGCAAGCTTCCAAGCGCGTGTAAGATTGGCCTGCGCGCACGAGCTTAGGGGCAGTTTTCTAGGCAGGGACGGCATGTAGTGCGCTCGGACCTGCTCTATTCTGATGTTTGGGTGCAAGCAACCTTCCATATTAGAATTTCGAGATGTTTGATTTCGCCGAGCCACTGCCTTTAGTGGGTGCACATCCAATACTAACCTCTTAAGCTCCCATCCCCCGGGTTAATATCACATATCAATCTGCCACTTCGATTCTGCGAACTTCCCTTGTAGACAAGTGAATTCGTCCTACGTTGCTGTCCGTGTTTGATGCACTCATTTCTATGACTCTTTGCTATCTTGGCCTCTGCTATGTATGACACGAGCCATACTTGATCCACTTAGCCCGCCTGATCCACTTCGTCTTTGGTCAGTTTACTGAACTGACCAACAGCGAAGCGGTTGTCCACTTGATCCGTTGATCCACTTCATCCATTTCGAGTGGTCAAATCAGCGAACTGACCAATGGCGAAGCAGGTATCCACTTGATCCATTTCGCTACTCATCAGTTCACTGATTCATTAATAGTAAAATGGACCAATTGGATCAAGTATGGTGTGTGCTCATAGCATAACCATAATGGTCGTCAAGCCTTGTTCATAAAGGCATCGCTACTCTTACCTTCACACTTTCCATTGGCATGCCTTTCGAACCCATGTTTGCAAACGCATTGTCCATCGATGCATAACTCTGTTTCTCCATCACACTTATTGTTGCACGAATTTGCAACTTCATTCAACTCATGTCGCATCATTGGAGTGACTGAAATAGAACTTTTTTCACGGAAAATGAACACACACACCACCCACTGAAGTGACGGCATGAACTCACTTGGACTGCAATCGTAACCATTCCCTCGGAATCCATGTTTGCAAAGACATTGTCCAGAAGGCAGGCAGAGGGCATCAGCGTGGCAAACATTTGGATCAGAGCGACAAGACCGTACAGGGAAGCACGAGATGCCATCACCAAGGAAACCTTGAACTCATGCATTCTACTCTTACCTAGTAGTAGTGTTTTTATCAACCTTACCTGCATTGCATTTACATTGTCGAGCGTCTCGATCGCATGTTGCATCCGGATTGCAAACTCCCGTGAAGTGCACACAATCGCGCGGATCAGGAACACAGCATAAACCATTGCCAAAGAAGCCGAGCTGAATTGGGGAACGGTTGGCGTGAGTTTTTCAGTAGGAAACGTGACTTAGATAAGAACCCATCTATAACCATTATTTTTTTCATGAAAGGGAGGCCTAATGAGAAATGACATCAGCGATTCGGTTGGCGTAACACGGTATTGTGCATCTGCACATTAGCTGACGCCAACTACAAATGTTGCGTAGAGCTCTCTATGTTATCGCAGCCCATACGTAGACGCCATACTAAGGTAGGCGCCAGACTAAGCGACTATTTTGAAAGAGAGTGGTAAGAAGTCCCTACCAGCGAAAATTTTTAGTTGTAAGGAAATTGCGCATGCTGACTTGATTTCCCTACAACGTGACGTCAAATGACAGTAAATGTGCCGCGCCCTGCACCATACCATACTAATACGTTTCGCGGCAATTTCCAGACTAACTTATTTGTTTTTTGTTTGCAAATCAAAGTTCACTTACATTGCATTTGCACATTCCATCATCACAGTGTGCATTCAAATCGCACTCAGAGCAGTTTACAGATCGCTGATATAGAGACACACATTTTACGCCGTCACCTAAACTCTTTCTTTAGCTTTTTCGTCTTTTGCATACTTCCACAACACATACCAGTGAATCCGTCCACGCATTTGCAACGTCTCCCAGTGCAAATGGCTTCGGGACTGCATAGATCTTTGCGTATGATACAGTCCTTAAAATTGGCAGTATTAAAATAGTTTTTTGGTGCGTTCTAGGTCGTGAGGTAAAAGTGCATGTAATGGGATAATATAGTGTTTAACGTAGATCGATTATCAAAGAGCCTAGATTTAGTGCCGGACGCCGTCGGATAACCCGAAGCGACGCGTGCGCGAACGCGGCTCTATCGCTAATAGAGCACGGGCGCAATTATGCTCTGACCTGCGGCACGCTGGCTAAGATGTTGGCAGCATGCAAGAACATCTCTGACATTCAGTGCGTGCGGCGCGCGCTTGTTAATGGCCAGCAGTGCGGCCCGCGCGCCTAGATTTGCGGGCGGGGTCACGTACCGTGCGGCCGGCGCGCCTTGAATCCTTAGCGTACGGCCCGCGCGCACTATATTTCACCGTGCCACCCGCGCGCCTCCAATTCTCACACGCTATAGGCGTAATGGGTACCCGCGTGAGGTATGATGCTATGATTAGGCTGCTCCGTCACTCGTGGTGCTGGCTTGTCATTTCTTAGCATTTGAGTAATCGCAGGAACATGAGAGATTTCTTTGCTTCTACGAAGGATATGCCTCGCCAGCATCCCGAATGGGTGCTAAATTTGAATTCTTGAATTCCATGAATTTAAATTCAAATTTCCGAATTTTTTAAATTCGGAATTTTTTTGGACTGTGAAGTTGAGAATGCCCACGGCACGACGAAAGAAGAAAAAGAAGCTTTATAAAGGACTTATTCTCTAGTAACTCGCGAACGAAGCGTCTTCGATACCGTGCGGCCCGCGCGCATTCACCGTTCGGCCCGCGCGCATTCATCGTACGGCCCCCGCGCACGGAGCGTTCGGCCCCCTCGCACTACAAGGCGCCGCACGGGGAGCACGCGCGCGCCGCACGGACCGAATGTCAGAGATGTTAACCTTGAGGCTATACGTAATGTAGTCGGAACCGAATAGTCGTATTCGAATGATTTATTCAAAATATTCGACTATTCGAATATTCGAATAGTCGAATATATTCGACTGTTGACTATATATATGAAAGCCTTTATTCGAATATTCGTTCGATCGACGGTTTGAAAAAATAACTTATTCGAATATTGGAAACATTATGGAAAACAGTCATTCGAATACTTGAATATTTGAGGGCGTGGAAAAGTGCATATTCAAATATACGAATATTGAAGACCATTCATGTGAACATTCGATTTCAGAGATAACTTCAGCTGTTCTACATTGGGTGCAAGTATGTCCCTGATAGAGCATAATGAGAAAAAGTCTTATGCATATTACTAGCTGGCTTACCCGGCTCCGCCGTATGTTCCGAATAGAAAATTCCATTTCTTAACCGATCCGGACCAACTTGGCACACATACACTTTGGGCCTCGGCGGGTGTCACAGTTGTAGCAGTGGATTTAAGGGATTTGCGGGATTTGCGCGATTTGGTTATAACTTTTTCTAAAACAACTTTATTTGGAATCTGCAAGAAGATTTGGCTTCAGCTTGATGAGACGAATCTTTTGGCATACATTAAGCCCGTTTTCCATGGTGCATTGTATTGTGTTGGGATGTGTTATGAGATCATCAACATGTATTGTTGCTCATATGAACAGATTTTGAAAATAACAAAGTAGTATCATATGTCTATGTCGTATCACCATGAACTACGGGCATAATGTATACTAAAAGATTCACCTCATCAAGCTGAAGCCAAATCTTCTTGCAGATCCCAAATAAAGTTGTTTTAGAAAAGTTATAAGTAAATCACGCAAATCCTGCATATCCCGCAATTTTGGCCGGATTCTACCGCTACAACTGTATTGGCAACATGCATTCCTTCATTCCGAGATCTCCACTTGCCGTGCTAGCCTAATCACCACTCGCATGTCAAAATATTTAGCAAAATGGTCGTGAGGTGAGCCGCTTGACTTTTGGTGGCAGCCTGTATGTCAGTCACCATACTCAAATCGGCTGCCTTTATACTCAGGAGGCGTAAAAAAAACTAGAGTCAAAATGTTAATCATAGAGGAATAACACTTTGAGTAGGCGTATAGGCTGAACAACAATTTCAACCTGAGCAAAAGATGTGGAAGACCCCTTACAACAAAAGTACAAACCTTAAAATTGCAGCTGAAACAACTTTGTGGAATTTCAATCTTACAACAGAAACTGTGAACTCAGCGATTGATAATTTCCGACAAGTGTAAGATTAGCAGCTAATATACACATATATTTCCATGACTTTTCTTTTTCTGAATTTAGATGCGCACGTATTATGTAGACAAGAGTGCGTCACCTCTGCTGCAGAGACTCACTGAATCTATTACTGTAGGCCTTGCTCGTGCTCTCCCAGTGCTTCTTAGAACTCACGCAGTGCTGACCATCACGAATAAATTACGAACAACTACCTATTACAAAAGCTTTCCATGTTGAATCTGTAGCTTTGGGAGAAATTTCTGTGAGAAAGAATAAACGCGGACTTAGAACAGTTATTAAGGCTATTAAGGCTTAGTAGCCGTCTTAAAGGACAATGAACACCGCGAACTACATGTTTGAGCAAAATTCTTCCCGGTTTCCTAGGTAGAACCCTGACCAAGCGACAATAACCCAGTCATCCTTACCACCTGCAACGCATATGACTATCAGCTACAAATCTAGATCAAATATAGCGGTTGATTTTTTTGCAGAAAATTGCAACAAAGAAAAAATCAGCAATGTTTGAGCCACTAGATTAGTCGAATTATGCGAATACGATTATTCGAATATTCGAATAGGCGAATATCGACCATATGTAATTGATTATTTGAATAGTGACCCATTTATTCGAGTATTCCTTCATTTGAATTCTGAAATGTAGCATTATTCGAATATTCGAATTCGAATAATCTGAAAATCACAGATCGAATAATATCCATTCGTTCGGAATTTTCAGTAGCCGATTATTCGATATTTGTTCGTTCCACGAAATTTTTCGGTCGTTTCAACTATAATATGTACAACACGTTCATCGCTGCACGCTGCAACATGCAAGACGTGCGTACCGCAGATAACAGATTCATGGCAAAGTCATTAGTCGACGATACCTGCCGTGCTGCGTCTGCGCCCGCACGCCCCTATAGACTGTGGTATTCGTCCGGCAGTAGACCTAGCTCTTCAGGCCGTATGCACGTACATCCTCGCAGGGGAGGGGATCGAGAGGGGACGCGTCATATCTTGCTATTCTAGATATCTTTCTTCTTGCAGTATCTGGGTTATAAAGGTTTTCATACCCTGATACCTGACAAGATCAGATTTTCACTGATAAATATCCCCTGGGGATTTGTGCTGACAATATAATATGGCATTGCTAAACATGTACACATAGTAGAAATAAGTGAAATTTCAGGATATCGAACTCTTCGATGAACCACTTCACGCAAGCTAGGGATTAGCGAGAAATTCACAATCTTCGGATCCCTTCTCCTGTCGAAAACATGCTTAGCAGTGCCATAGAACTCCTCAGTGCAATTTTACGCGTCTCTATTAAATTTTCAGAAAGATAAAGAATTCTTAAAATGAGAGGTGATCCCTTGAGGATTCTAATAAAAGGATACAAGGATTCTAATAAAAGGATACAAGAATAGCGAAATGTGACGCATCTTCTCTCAGATCCCCTCCCCTCCCGGTGGGGATGTACGCACATACGGGTTTTTCATTATACAGTACCTGTGGATCTGGGTTGCATACGTAGCCATCTCCGATGTATCCGCTGCGGCACGAACATTGTCGGGTGTGGTGGTCACAGATGGCGTTCGGGTGGCAGAGAGTCGACTCAGTAACACAGTCGGGACGCGGAGTAAACTTCCTGTAAGTTTTTTTCTTCTGAAAACGTCTTTGTTCTGAACGTGAGGCATTCAACGCCCGCGTCAATCGCCACTACGAGGGAGGGCTCAATCGTTTCTGAGAACTGCCATAGGTTGCCGGCAATGGCTGCCGTGATTGCCGAGGTTATTATAGAGCGCAGAACACACAGGGAGTACTTTGGGGTCCTACAACGACCGCGGACCTCGGCAACCGTTACCGGCAACCTATGGCCGTTCTCTATGGCCACGGACATACTTTACGGAATTCAGTCGCGACGGGATTTCCAAACACTCGGATTCGTTAGTAACTTATCGTAGGCGCATTGCGAATGTGCAGAAGCTAGGAAATTTTATCAGTCCGCAAAAGTTACACTATGCATCCGCACTCTACGAGTGCTATATTCTTCAAATGCAACAATTGATATCGGGCATTCGAAAATTGTGAGGACGGCGCAACCGCGCGCAACACGCACGCACCTCCCGGCAACCGCATTTTCTGGGTTTTCGTCTCCACTATGGTCTTTCTGCTTACGTGTGAAAGTATATAAACATTGGAAGAGACTGAGCAGAGAATTGAGGTGATGTCTTTTTGCATGAGTGTTTCTGCTCCTGTGGGCGCAAAGACCGCAGTCAAATCCGTCGTCACGATTTTACGAAAACTTATAAAACATAGCGCATAGGGCTCCGGGCCTACCTCCAGCGGTTTCACTCACTACGCGATTTGGCAATACTCCAGTTGTTCATAACTCAACGTAAAGGGTTTCTGAATGTATGGAAGACACCCCAATGGGGTGGCAGATCCCATTTGGGGTCTGCCAGTATTGAATTGAAGACATCTGGCAAATTACCAGATCGCGTGGCGACCAAAATCGCGTGAGGCCTTGGACATATCTCACGCTCAGTGCAACGCGATTTGGCATAATTCCAACTGTTCGTAAAACCTCGCAAGGGGTTTTTTAATGTAGGATAGGGCATTTTATGCCTACGAAAGTTATCATGCTGTGCATTTGAGCCAGTTTGACGCGATTCGACCGAATCGCCACTTTCACGCGACTTGGCGATTTGCCAGATTTCTACAAATTTATCGTGCGCGCTTCTCGGACGCATATTTGGGTAGCTTGTGTAAGCTGTTGCAAACGGAGCAATTTCCTACCAAAGGCAGCGCATTAACGACGAATTACGAAGAGTCCATATTGTGCTGAATCGCGCGAGGTATGCCTTAGGCTCCGGACAGACTTCACGCGACTTAATCGTCGCGATCTAATCGCCAAGATTTCCATTCATTTTCATTTCACATTCAAAATTTCGGGCTGGAAAAGTATCACAACCGAATGCAAGTTGATCGACATGGAATGATGTCGTGACAGTTGTCTCGTCGCGATTCAGTCGCGACGATCAAATTGCGTGAAGTCTGCCCGGGGCCTTAGGCCTAAGGCTTCGGTAGTTCACGCGATTTGTCGCCTCGCGATTCTTCCGACAAAACAACTGCTATAGGCCTGTTTTCTCTGCGCCTCCTCCAGTCATGAAATGCCTCGAATGACGCAACAGCGTTGCTCTCCGAGCGCAACGCGGACGACCTATACGAATCCATTTTATGTCGATCACCCTGTTCGGTTTTGATACCTAATCACGATTAGTCGTGTTGGAAAACTATCCGAAACGCAAGAGACTCGGCATGCAAAGGTCTCGTTACAGTCGTCCCGTTGGAAGACTCGCGAGGCGTTGAAATCGCGTGAACTATACCTGAGACCTCCCGATACCCACTCGTACATCATGCAACTTCAAGATCGCTTCGCGTCTGAAAGCGCGCTAAGTACGCGTAGGCTTATGAGTCGCGCTGTAAAGCACTTAGTATGCCGAAATGATACAAGGGTAGGATACTTGGTCGAAGTGGCGTTTGCATATGAGTTGTACATTGCTTTATAGAGCTTGAAACGCTGATTCCAAATCTGCTTTTGGTATCTGCAAAGCGCTTCTGGGAGGGGAGTTATGGGACTTTTTGAAGCAAAAATGAGTACGAGCGACTCTATTAAAATTATTAAACTAGCTTGCTTACCCGGCTCCGCTCGGCCCTGTCAAAACACTGTAGTAAAAGTCCCATCCCTATCCCCGTACAGCCTTTCCCTATGCCCACTTCTACACTTCATTTTCCGTTCCCTGTGTTGTCTTCGAAATCAGCATGCCCACTTATCCCCCCCCCCGTGCCAACTCCCAGCCCTGTAGCTCAAATTTTTAAAAAGATCGATAAAATCGATAAAAGTAATGCATAATTCTAAAAACTGATATTGTATTCGTAATCAGCGTGCTCGATTACCCTGTGCTAACTCTAAGCCCTGTAGCTCAAACTTTGCAAAAAGTTGATAAAATCGATAAAAGTGATGGGTAATTCTAAAATTACCCATTACTTTTATCTAATTCTAAATTCTAAAAACTGATATTGTATTCGTAATCAGCATACTCAATTACCCCCCTGTGCCAATTCCCATCCCCGCACGTCAAACTTTACAAAAAATCGATAAAATCGATAAAATCGATGTCGAATGATGGAGAAAAGTAGCCTATGACACCCATCCCGCCCCAAAGCGTATGTGTGCCAAGTCTGGTCCGATTGGGAAATGGAATTTTCTATTCGGAACATGTCCCTTGTGCCCCAGAAAAGTTCCCATGTGAACCAGCGTGCATACGTGGTGCGACGCTGCCTTTCGCTCTTTTTGACACGTTTCTCCTGAGATTTTAACGGAACTGCCCGAGGTTAACACCTTCAAAAGAGCGAAAGGCAGCGAGATGACGTGGTACCCATGGGAATCTTGCTGGGGAACAAATGATACAGACAGACATTCAGCTTTATATATAAGATTGTAGTCTGTGAGCTCAAACGGGGCCATGATCACAGCCAAAACGTTTTATGCAATCAATACCTTTGGTATTATAAGCTCATGTTAGTTACTACTCCTTTCAAGCTCTATACTTGTATTCATCTTAGCCAAACCCTTGAATTTTTGTTTTAAAAACCCCCATAACTCTCCTCCAAAAGCGCTTTGCAGATATGAAAGCATTCGGAATCAGCCTTCCATGCTCTATAAGACAGTATACATTTTGCATGAAAGCTTCACTTCAACCAAGTATCCTTCCCTTATTAGAAGCGTCTGCGGACATGCGCGTACTAAGGCGAATAAAGAATTGCAAACACATGACATAAAAAAACTTTCACTAAACATTAGTCTCTATTATCCTTCTATATAAAGCTGAATGTTTGTTTGTCTGTCTGTCTGTATGATCGGCTCCCAGATTCGTGTGGAGGTGTATTGCAGACTTTGCCTGATAACACGGATAAACTTGTTAAACCTCCACGTTATAGCATTGCTTTTCGTACTCTCTCGCTAGCACACGCTCTGAGTTGGCAAGACTTCACCTCCACACGAATCTGGAAGCTGATAATATGTCTGTATGTATCATCGGCTCCAAGATTCGTGTGGAGGCAGGTTGCCGACTTCCCTTTTCAGGATAAACTTGTAACCTCCATGTTATATCATTGTATTTCGTACTCTCTCGTCAAGCTTATCCTTAAAATCAGGGAAGTTCGCAACCCGCCTCCACACGGAAAATTACTTATAAGGGTGAAATGCGCAACGGACTTGTTTATTTTTGTAAACAATGTAACACATTGACCAAGGCGTTTCACGGACCAGTCAACATTTTTTAGATGAAATCACGCGCAATTTCATTTACAGTACACCTACAGTAACTCTGGAATTCTGGCAAAAACAGTGAAGGCTGTGTTTAGATCCAGCACAAAAGAAAACTCCCGGAGTGGGTTTGACACAAAATACAGGGTGTCCCAAAAGTAAGTACACACTTTTCAATTGTCAATATCTCTCTTCCCATCGTGTCTTTTTCTTCCATTTGATTACCATTCTGTAGAGGAGGTTTCAACTTAGATTTGAAGTATCGAGCGAATCACCGACCATTCTTCATTACTGTAGGATTACGGTACGAACTTCGACAAGGATTTTAACCCATTGGAGGCCATATTCCCTCGGAACAAAACCAAACAAGCCAAAAAATTCTTATACTACGGCAGTGGGAGCCGCTGATTTCGAATTTGAAATTCCCATTTTACTGTGATGCTTCTTTTCTGAGTTATCCCCGGTAAATCGTAATAACTCAATTCCCAACATTTGTCAGAAATGTAATTAAACCGTCAAAAAAGCTGAGAATACTCGTAAAAAGGTGTGTGGTGAAATCAGCGTGAGCGAAAACCCTAGTAGACAATTTTTCAGATTTTTTGCAGAAAATTTTGTCAGATGGCATATTTCACAATGGTTCCACATGCTGGAAATTCTTACCGTAATCCAACAGTAACGAAGCGATCGGTGTTTCGATCGATACTGTTAATCTAAGTTGAAGCCCCCTCTACAGAATGGTACTTGAATGGCAAAAAAAGACCCATTGGGAAGAGAGATGTTGACGATTGAAAAGTGTGTACTTACTTTTGGGACACCCTGTAGTAGCCACGCCAACGATACACATGGTGTGCCAAGCCTTGACACACCATGTATGTCAAGCGGTCGTCAACGTGTTAAATAATTTTTGAAAATTTTCGAAAATTCAATCTAGCCTTGAAAAAAAATTTTTTTCATTTCAGGGGCTAGGGACCCGCATCCTAAGAAGCACCCCAAAAATTTTTTTCGGAGTGCGTGGCTAACGCCACGCACCTTCTATGCAAAATTTTTTTTGTCGCCCCCCCCCCCGGTCCGAAATCCTGGGACCGCCACTGGTGTGTACGTATGTGCGGAACGGAATTTTTTATTTCTGAACCGATTTGGACTAAACTTGGCACACATATACATCGGGGCGGGGTGTCATAGGCTACTTTTCTTTATCGATCGATATCAGTTCTATCATTTTTTATCGATTTTTGCAAAGTTCAAGCTAGGGGTCTGGGCCTTGGAACAGGGGGTAGGTGAGACGGTGATACGAATATTAGTTTTTGGAATTATCGAATCCTTTTATCGATCTTATCGAATTTTTTTGCAAAGTTCGAGCTACGGGGCTGGAAATTGGCACGGGGGGGGGGGGAGGTAAGTAGTATGCTGATTACTAACGAGAACAGGGAATTGGCGTGTAGAAGTGGGCACATGGAAAGGTTGCAAAGGGATAGGGATGGGACCTTTATCATAGTGTTTTGACAGGGCCGGGCGGAACCGGGTAAGCCAGCTAGTTGAAGGGATAAACGGTAAAAACATGACTCACGTGCAGTTTGAATACCCATCTCCAGTGAATCCATCCTTGCATCGACAAGCTCCGGTGGCAATCTCACAGATTGCCAATTCATGACACATTGAACGATCGGATGGTGTGCATCGTCCATGCTTACCAGGCAATGACGTATCACTGGGAGTACCTGTGGTTGAACCAAAAGATTCAACAACAACAGACAAATCGTCTTCTGTAGTCGTTTTGAATCCGATTTCTGGAATTTTGACAGAATGAGTAGGACTGAGCGGTAGCTGGTTAGATGTGCTCTTTGGTGCAAATGCAGACAATAGTTCTGTGGATGGTGCAGTCATGGGTGCAGTAAAAGATGTGCTTGTGACAATACGCTGCAAAGAGATTGGTGTACGTGGTGGTGATGGTGGTGCAAAGGTGATGATGGTCGGTGACACCCTATGAGGGGACGTCTTTATTCTTGGTTGGAGGGTAGTGCGTTGCCCTCTTGTAAAATGAAAAGTTCTGGATGAAGGCATAGTTTTCGAAGATGGAAAAGTTCCTGGGAGATTTATCAGCGTTGGGAAAGAACTTTGTGTGGAAGTTTCGCGTAACGATGTGTCTGTGGGAGTTGTAATATGCCTTATTCGTGGGGACGTTGCCGTTTTTCCTTCTCTGGGAGGAACTCGTGGTAAAATTGTTTCTGTACTTGATTTCGCAGTTTTCAAAGTGTCTGGAGATACTCCTGGAGATGAAGGCATGGTGCTAAATGTTTTCGGCGAAGCTGCTGTTGCAGGAGGAGAGGGAGTTGAGCCTTCAGATCGCGTAACTGTCACACCGACCTCATCTGGGATTGTTACACCAGGATTCATATCACCATCTACCAAAACCACCGGTGTGACACTTCCCTTCGGTAGAAGTGCAACTATTTTCGTGTTAGTCATAATGTGGGAAACTTCAGTAGTTTCCGCGATCAGATGGGAACCTGATGTGGAAGATTGTAAATTTTCTGGTGTAGGTGGAGTAAGTTCTGTTGGTCTAGGCGCGTCGGCAGAGCTTGCGTGAGGCTCCTGTGGAGGTGTGCTAGTTTCTGGCAGTTCCGTCTGACTAGAGACTGTAAAAGTTGCACCGACATATGTCCGCTGCTCTCTAGATGCCGTAGTAGAGAATGATTTTGGCATGGTTATGCTGGGACTATGTGAAGCTTCATTCACTACGGAAACCGAAGTGACGGAAGTAGTCTGAGTTTCGGTGGCTAATATGAATGTCTCTTCCGGTGTGGAAGTGACAGTGGATGATGACAGTTTTGGTGGAGGTCCAGTAGTCCCTTGAGTAGTCCCTAGCTGTCTTACGCCCGCAATGGATGGCTCGCTAGTATTTTCTCTGATCTGCTCATTTTTAAGGAGGTCAGTGGGCTTCGCCGTTAACTCAAACTTCTCCAACCCTTTCGTTGGTGGTTCCACAGGTGTCTTATCAGTGTGAACCCCTTCTATTTTCACTGCTAGAGGTCCGCTGATGTGTGCTGTAGTAGGCAGAGCTTCAGTTGTGCTTATGGTCGTTTTGCTTTTCGATTCACTTACTCTGTGCTTAGATTCAGGAGACCTCGATGTAATCTTAACTGCCTGTTTAGTAGAAAGAGTACCGGACTGTTGTGGGATCACACTTTCGCTGACTGTAGGGCTTTCCGGCAGATCCTGTATTGTTTCCGTGATGCTTTTTTCTGGATTGGAAGAGATACCCGAACTTTCAGTAGCCCTTCCTTCCGATTCTGTAGGAACTGCGCTTGTTCTGATTTCCTCTTCTTTTGAGCTTTTAGTAGGCAATGTGCTTACCAAATCTCCGACTGTTTCTGGAAGTCTAGGTGCTTGTGTTGTTCTTATTGCTGTTTCTATGGTAAATACTTGGCTTGCTGTTTTCGTTATCCCCGCCTCATCTGAGCCCATATGGGTAGTTTCTATCCTTGTTCTAACGGCGAACCCTTGGCTAGCTCTTGTCGTTGTCTCTGTCTTCCCTGACCTCATATGAGTCTCTATCTTTCCTGCTTCGGTAAATCCTTCGCTTGTTGTTTTTATTGTTTCCGTCTCCCCCAAACTTGAAGTGGGAGACACGGCTTCTCCTGAGCTTTCCGGTTTATTTGGTTCTGGTGTTCCTTTTGGTGCTAAAGGCCTCATTGTCTTTTCTATAGCTGCAGTAGGCTCACCAGATACCAGCGTAGAGTCTGGTCCAGATTCGAGTGGACTACCAGAAGGCGTAGTCTTGCTTACCTCTTTTTGTGTTTCTCTATGCTCCGGTTCAATTAGCCTTGGTGTAGTCGGTATGTGTGACACTGCTGAGGTAACTTGTGTCGATTTTCCTAGTTCCACCTTTTTCTCGGTAGTTATTTCAAAAAACGGCGTAGGTTCTGGTCGTACGGATGTGTCATGTTCGCTCTTAGATCCTTTGAAAAGAGGTTGGCTTGTTTGGAATTCGTTTCTTGTTGAGAAATTACCCATTACTACATCCTCAATGACTACCGTCCTTGGAGCACCTGTGGGAGACTCCACAGAATCGGGTATTTCTGTACTTGTGAAACTTGTCGAAAGGGCCATCGTCGCCCCATCCACACGTACTTGATTAGGTTGATGAGTAGTTTCTGCTGTCTCTTGTCCCGCTAGAGAAGTTCGTCCATGAACAGGTTTTTCGACGCCTGTGACTCCCGGAACGTCCGTGGAAGCCTCGTCAGGTTTTTCTGTGAGAATCGTTGTTTTCTCTGACTGTGGTTCAATTGTACTCCTTTCCTTCGTCTCCCCAGAAATAGTACTCAAGTCAGTCTTTACCGTAAATGGCACTGCTGAAGTTTGCGTGGTTTTTTCAGGTTCGGTACAAGCGGCAGATGACTCTGTAAAACCTTTATCTGGTTCTGTTCTGGTACTCTCGTTTGGTAATACAGAGTTTAATTCAGATCCAGGATTAAGTGTATCTCCAGAACTTTCTGTTAAGGGCTCGATAGGCTCTTGCGTGGTATCTGGTCTATGATGCCCACCAGTGAGAAGCACGTTAGGATTAGGTATGCCTTCCTCTCTCAATCTTTCAGTGGATTTATCATGTTCCTGGGTGGTTTTTATCAAATCAGGTTCTGAGAAGCGTTGGGTAGTCCGAGTAGTAAGAAGTTCTGTGAGCGTTTGGGTGGTCTTGCCCGTGGCAGGAGTTTGTGAGTTTGTAAAAAGTTTTTCTCCAAGACTTGCGGTAGTTGTAGCAAGTGAGACCTCTGTTACTCTAGACACGCTCTCCACCTTAGTGAATGGAGTAAGCTCAGCAGCTCTCTGTGTAGTGTTCATCACATGAGTTTCTTTGGGTGCACTGGAACTCAAGATGGGTTCCTTTTCGTTTGATCCCAGCGTAACAGGATCGCGGGGCCATTGGGTAGTACCCGCACCTGATGGTCGTGTTGAGCCTGAGCTTACTGTTCCTCCCTTTTTAATGTTTACAAGAGTAGATTCCAATCTGCGCGCGACATCTGGCTCAAATGACGTTGAGCTTGCACTTGGAGTCGGCGTGCTCAACTGCTTCAGCGTCTCCATTGGAATCGTTGGAGTTTCTTGCGTGGTTTCCTGTACTCTGGCTTTTGTTGAAGGTTTCATACCCTCTTTCTGCTCACGGGAGGTGGTTGAGCTGTGCTCAAAGGAGCTTTGTGTAGTTGTTGCCATTGTTGGAGATACTCTGGGAAGAACGCTTGGAGATGGTCTATGCTCCATTTCCCTAAGTGCTATTGTTGGACGCTCCGAAGTTCCTCGCACAGTTTGCGGTTTCTCTGCTGATGAAGAACTCTTTTTGCCGTCTTGCAGGATGGTTGAGTTATGCTCAGTGGAAATTTGTGTGCTCATACTTATTTTTGGAAGTGCTGTGGGAAGTGCAATTGGAGATGACAAGCGCTCCTTTTCGCTTATAGCTTGTATTGAACGTTCTGATGTGCTTTGCGCGGTCTCTTGTTCTCTGGCTGCTGCAGAAGTTTTTGTGCCTTCTTCCTCATGGGTGGCTGGAAGGGCAGAAGTCCTATGTGTGGTCTTTGCTATTAGAGATGACGTAGGAAGTGCAATGGTAGGTGATTTAGGCTCCACACTCGTGGCTTGTGTTGGACGCTCTGAAGGCTTTTGCGTGGTCTCTGGATCCTCCGCTGATGTAGAACTCTCCTTGCCGTCTTGCTCACGAGTAGTCGAGGTGAGTTCTGTGGGGATCTGCCTGGTCTTCTCCATTTTTGTAAGTGCTGTGAGAAGTGCAGTTGGTGATGACAAGCGCATTTTTTCACTTGGAGCTAGTGTTGAAGGTTTCTCCTGCGCGGCTTCCGACTCTCTAGTTGTTGCAGAATTTTTTGTTGCTCCTTCCTGCTCATGAGTGGTTGAAATAGGATGAGAGATTCCGTGTGTGGTCTCCACTGGTGGAGTTGATGGAAGTGATGGAGATGGTGGAGATGGTGTACGCTCTTCCTCACTCGGTGCTAGTGTTGGACGTTTTGAAGTCTCTTGCGTGGTCTCCGGTTTTCCGCTTGTTGCAGAAGTCATACTTCCATCCTGCTCCGCCACTGAAATGGGCTCAAAGGATATGTGTGTTTTCATAGTTGGAGACGCGGTGGGAAATCCATTTGAGGATAACGTACCCTCTGTCTCACTCGAGGCAGTTTGGAATCTTGAAGTCGTCGTCTGCGGTTCTCCGATTGCAGAAGTCTGAGTGCTTCCATCCTGTTCCGTCATTGAGACGGGCACAAAGAATGTGCGCGTCTCCATTGTTGCTGTGGGAAGTGCATTTGAGGATATCGTACCCTCTTTATCACTCGAGGTTGGAAGTTCTGTGGTCTCATGCGTGATTGCAGAAGTTTCTGTGCTTCCATCCTGCTCCGTCATTGAGACGGGCACAAAGAATGTGCGCGTCTCCATTGTTGCTGTGGGAAGTGCATTTGAGGATATCGTACCCTCTTTCTCACTCGAGGTCGGAAGTTCTGTGGTCTCATGCGTGATTGCAGAAGTTTCTGTGCTTCCATCCTGCTCCGTCATTGAGACGGGCATAAAGAATGTGCGTGTCTCCATTGTTGGAGATGTTGTGGGAACTGCAGTGACGGAGGCATTTGAAAGCTCTGAAGTCTTTTGCGTAGTCTCCGCTTCTGCGGTTGCAGAAGTCTTCGTGCTTCCATCCTGCTCCGTCATTGAGACGGGCACAAAGAATGTGCGTGTCTCCATTGTTGCTGTGGGAAGTGCATTTGAGGATATCGTACCCTCTTTATAACTCGAGGTC